GGCTCGGCTTGGCACGGCTCGGCTTGGCTCAGTGCCGCTGGCACAGCTCAGCGTGGCACTGCTGGCACAGTTTATCATGGCATGGCACTGCTGGCACAGTTTATCATGGCATGGCACTGCTGGCACACCTTGGCATGGCATGAATGACATGAATGACATGACATGACATGACATGACATGACAGTACATGGCACTGCTGGCACAGTTTACCATGGCATGGCATGGGCTGGCACTGCTGGCACAGCAGCTGGAGCACCTTAGCAGGGCACAGCTTGGCACAGCTCAGACACCTGGGCATGGCTGACATGAGATGCCACAGCCTGGAATGGCACAGCATGGCCCAGCTGGCACGGCATGCCCAGCGTGGCTGATGATGGCATGGCACGGCTCAGCTGGCACACCTTGGCATGGCACTGCCTCGATAAGATCAGCCTGGCACAGCCTGGCACGGCACAGCTCAGCACCCCTGTGCCAGTGGCTCCTGCCCCCAGTGCCCGTGTCCTGCCACTGCCCTGACCCTGCAGGCAGCACCTGTGCCCCGTCCCAGAGCCACCCAAGGTGAGGGGGCTGACCTTAACTCAGGGCTCTCACAAAGTGACAATTCCCTTATGAACCTACAACTCCTTTTCTCCAGGCATTTTCTCCTTTCTTTGCTTTGCTGAGTCTTAAAAATCTTCAGGTGCCAGTGCAGGCTGCTGTATAACTAATTAACTTCCAACAATTAACTTCCTATTTCTAGTTACCTTTTCCAGACATCCTTGAATTAATTTCAAAATCCCCCGGGGCTTCAGTTTTGCAGGGGGCTGAAAACCAGCCGAGCTCAGCCAGGCTCTATCCCCGAGGAGCCAAGGCACGTGGATAAATCCTGGAGCTGTATCCAAGTGATTCCTGCATGTGAGGCTGCGGGGTCCTGGTGGGGTGAGAGCTCCTTCCCTGGCTCTCCTGGGCTTCAGGTGGGAGCTGGTGGGAGAATGGGGGCTTGAGGGGAGATGTGCAATAGGATGGGGATGTGGAGTGACAAGATAAAATTGTGGGAGTCAGGATGGGATGAGAACTGAGGACCTTTGGCAGTGTCCAACCCACCTCTGCCCCCCTGGGTTTGTGTTTCAGGTCCCTCCTGCCTACCCAGTGAGGGAGAGGGGGAAGGACAGACACCTCTAATTAATCATATTAACTCCTGACAGATGCTTTATGTTCCAACAATGTTGCTATTATTAAGTTCATGTGCCCACCCCTCCCCAAGCCCGCTGCTCTGGGTTCTGGGAAAAAAGGCTTTGCTGGATTTCCCCGGTGAGTGCTGGCATCGCCCAGCGCAGCCTGACATCCAGTCTCGCTTATCCAACCACTATCAATCACACCCAGGGTCAGACATGTCCATTTCTCCTCTTTGTGAGGCTTTTTTCTTCTCTTTTTTCCGCTCTCCCAAAGCTGACCGTGAGATCGATTCAATCCGGACAGTGGGATGGAAGCGGAGAGGCGCTGCCTTTCAAAGGAGCCATTCAGGGAAGGAGGAAACAGAAAAAAAGGCTTTCCTCAAAGTCCCTCGAGTTGTTTGCCAACAACAACAACTCGGCCTTCACAGAGTAACCTAAAATCAGGTGGGACAAGAGCGTAAGAGCAGCGGCGGTGCCGGGGCGGAGCGAGGGCACGGAGCAGCGATGCCCCCGGGGCCGTTCATCCTTCCCCAAAGCCCAGGTCATGCCCAAGGCCTGATCCTGCCCCGGTGCTGGCACACAGAGACCATTTCTGCACCAGCTTGTGTTTGCTGTATTAAAGCTCCATCAGAGGGATGCTGTGGGTGATGATGAATCTTGCTCCACGCTGGTGCCCTTCCCGGCACCGGTTGGATCCTCTGCTCTAAAACCCACGAGGGTCCTGTTTTTGTTAAGGAGAAGCAGAGGGGAGAAAGTTAAACTTCCCTGTTCCGTGTCCAGATCTGCTCCGTGACAAACCCCTCTCTGCTCAGAGATTGCACAAGTTTAAATAAAAGCAGCGAGACCCTTGCCCATCAAAAACAACACCAGCACCAAAGGAAAAGTCAAACATTTGGAATAGAAGCAAAGCTAAAGAAGACCAGAAGCCTCGGGGAGCACTTTCACCAATGAAAGATGATGTTTTTATCCCTAAGCAGGACTTGCCCCACCTGGGCTGCCACTGAGGACGTTTGATTTCTCCAAGGACGAGTTCCCGTGCAGAGCCCTAACGAGGCTCAGGGACTCTGGCGTCTTTGCGACCTGTGAAGCGAGGCTGGGGAAGAGGGAAAGGTTTTTGTTTACCTTCAAGACCTTCCAGTAACTTGGGATGAGTCTGAGCAGGGAGTTTTCTGTCCCTTGGCCCCGGCATCCTGGGTGCCAAGGGGTGCAGAGCAGGCAGGATGGAGAGAGGCATCCGAGCGCTGCAACCTGCACGAATTTAAATTGCTGTAACTCTGCTGGGCTTTGACTCCGGAATAAATCACTCCTGCCTCATTGCTGCCGGACACAGTTTAAGGGAAAAGAGGGTAAGGGGAGCTGGGGGTGTGTGGGGTGTGGCAGCAGGCACCGTCTCCCAGCTGTGCAGGGCACTGAGGGACAGGCCAGGGGGACAGCCCGTGCTGGGTGCGTCCTGGACGGGTCCCACGGAGCTTCCAGGCACTGTGGGGAGAGCTGGGGGCGGCTCCAGCCCCCGCTGCAGGATGAGGATCCAAGGCACATCCTAAATCCGAGCCTTTATCTGTCCCCCGGTGCCCGCTGTACACCTGCCGTGCCCAGGTAAATCCCCCCTCGCCCACCCCGCAGCTCCTCAGCTGCTCTGTGGACGCAAAACCTCCCGAGTCAGCGTTTTCCCTGCCCTGCTCCATCCCCGAGTGCCTCCACTCCCCACGCAACACCAGCCCGGGCCTTGCTTTTAGCTGCAGAACAAGTGCATAAAAATGATCTTATTTATTACAGGAGACATGTTTTAAAACAACTGACAAAACTGCAAGATGTAAAACGACAAGCAAGCGCTTTTTCTTTTTTAAGCCCGTATAGACTCCTGGCAATGATAAAAATAGTGTTTTCTTTTTTAAAGTTGGAATTAATCTTTCTTTCCAAAGCAATCATGTAGCAGGAAAAGCAGGAAGACACTTGGATATTAAGTGATCCTCGCTGGTGATGGTTAGTTATGGAATGGCCGGGATTCTCTTCCCTCCGCAGAGCCATTAACGCTGCAAACATTAAAGCAGAAAAAGGTGAAGGGTTTTTTCCCCTCCCCTGCTCCCTTGATGTGTGACTAAGAGCTGCTTTTCTGTGTGACAAAGCTGTGGGGTCTTCCTGTTGTTGATGTAATGAAGCTGTTTCCTGGTGGGAAATTCGACGGGATAAATTGCAGAAGGGGGGAGGAGAACATCCCACAGTCACCAGGGAGGGAGGGAGGGAGGGAGGGAGCTGGTCCCGGGGTCACAGGCACTTCACTGGGATTTTTGGGGGGGCTTTACCTGTTCATCTCCAAGATTTCAGCCGTGCCATCAGAGTGAGGGTCTGCACAGCCCTGGGATGAAGGCAGGACACTTTGGGGTGTTCTCTCTGCTGACCCCCGAGCTGCTGCCACAGGGCCGTGCCAAGCTCCCGTGCCTCAGTTTCTCTGTCTCTGAAGTGGGGGGGGTGGTGACCCCCCAGTCTCCATCACTATCAGCACTGCCAACCCCAAAATTGATGTGGGGATCCCAACGTTTCCCTGTGCTGGCACTTTGGGGGATCAGCCTCGCTGGGTTCAATTAATCCTCAGACACCCACAAAAAAATTCCCCTTCACCCCCATTTCCTTTTTTTCTTTGCCAGTATTAGTTAATTAAACTATGCAAATGAAACCAACTTAATTTCTATAATACCAGGGCCAGAGCCTCAAACCATTCAGTGCAGCTCATCTGGCACGTACGTCACAGAAAGTGTTTGGAGCAACTCTAATAAAAATGAAAAAGGCTGTAAATCAAGTTTAATTTATTCATTTTCTGTATGGTATGAAAGCATGCCAAAATCAGATTATTTATGAGCCCTTCATAACAATAGGCATTTTTATTGGTTGCAAATGACAAAAGGGGTTCTCAGAGGGATTTTTTCTTCTTTTAAATTTTTTGAATGCCTCTTCAGAAACATTTATTTTTTTGGACTCTATGATCTCAAAGAAAAATATTTAATCATTGATACAGTAAAAATAATTTATATTTTGAT